TTTATCTCCCAGGTCCCTATTTTATCTCCCTAGGTCCTTATTTTATCTCCCCAGGTCCTTATTTTATCACCCAAGTCCATATTCCCTCCTAATTCCTTCTTTTGTCTCCCCATTCTCTCTCCCTCCCTGGCCCTCCCCCTCCTCCTTTTCCCCTCACCTCATCCCTTTCCTCCTCCTCTCCCCCTTTCTCCCTTGTCTCCTCCCTTCCTCCTTTCCCCTCACCTCTTCCCTTTCCTCGTCTCCCCCTTTCCCCCATCTCCCCCCATCATCTCCCTTTCCCTCCATCCCCCTCAGTCCACTGGTGAGGGGAATAATCTCTACCCATTAAGGGAATCTGAGAGGAAAGTGGACAGTGGAGAAGCTCTCTCTCTCTCTCTCTCTCTCTCTCTCTCTCTCTCATTTTCAACGCAGTCAGTAAAGTCAGTCAACTCTCCTTAAAACCAGTCAGTCAATGTACAGTCAACCAGTCAAACAAACCAATCACAAATCAGAATTTATCCCAACCAATCAACCAATCGTACTGACAAACAGGGAACCAATCAACAAAGAGCGTGAGTAGGTAGGTAAGGGTATTTGACCAATCAGCGACAGGCGAGACCACAACAACAAGGCAAGGCGCGAAATTCAGAATCACAGGACTTCATTTTGGCGGGAAATGGTGACAATGGCGTGAATAAATTGTATTGTCTGAGCTTATTATTCATTCTAGCGGTGTATGTGTGTGTGTGTGAAATGTTGACGTGAAATGTGACAGAAACGGGCAGATAGAGAGACAGGAGACAGATAGAGAGAGACAGAGAGACAGATGAACAGTGATTAGTGAACAACCTACATTTCACAAGCCACGCCCCCATGACATTCGACCGCCAATTAAAACCTCATTTCCTCTCTCTCTCTCTCTCTCTCTCTCTCTCTCTCTCTCTCTCTCTCTCTCTCCACAACAGATTAGGGTGGGGGAGGGGGTGAAAGGAGGGTGTGAGGGTGAGAAGGGGGGTGAGGAGGTGAGGAGGGAGGGGTGAGAGGAGGGGGTGAAAGGAGGGGTGAAGGAGGGGGTGAAAGGAGGGGGTGTGGGGGAGGTGAGGCAGGGGGTGTGGGGAATGGGGGAGGGCGGGGGGGAAGGGGGGTAGGGGAATCATTAGTATTCAGTAACCCACGCCGTCTGTTTCAACTAAAAGCTCATTTCCTTGTGAATACTCCTCCCTCCCTCATCCTCCTCCTCCTCTTCTCCCCTCCCCTCATCCTTCTCCTCCCCTCTTCTCCCTCCCCTCATCCTCCTCCTCCCCTCTTCTCCCCTCCCCTCATCCTCCTCCTCCCCTCTTCTCCCCTCCCCTCTTCTCCCCCTCATCCTCTCCTCCCCTCTTCTCCCCTCCCCTCATCCTCCTCCTCCCCTCTTCTCCTCCATCTCTTCCTTCCCTTCCTCCCCTCATCCTTCTCCTCCCTTTCTCCCTCATCCTCCTCCTCCTCCTCCCTCTTCTCCCTCTCCCATTAACACCTCACCATCGACCTCTCCCTCCTCCCTGTAGCCCCACTCCTCTCCCCATCCACCTACCTGCCCTCCCCACCAGGACCCTCATGGGGAGACAATGGGACCAGGTGTGGGAGAAAGATCGCAATATGAACTCTACCACTGGTGAAGTTTTAAGACTGAACTCTCCACTGGTGAAAGTTTTAGACTGAACTCTACCACTGGTGAAAGTTTTAAGACTGAACTCTACCACTGGTGAAAGTTTTTAAGCTGAACTCTACCACTGGTGAAAGTTTTAAGACTGAACTCTACCATGGTGAAAGTTTTAAGACTGAACTCTACCACTAGTGAAAGTTTTAGACTGAACTCTTCCACTGGTGAAAGTTTTAAGACTGAACTCTACCACTGTAAGTTTTAGACTGAACTCTACTGGTGAAAGTTTTAAGACTGAACTCTACACTAGTGAAAGTTTTAAGACTGAACTCACCACTGGTGAAGTTTTAAGACTGAACTCTACCACTGGTGAAGTTTTTAGACTGAACTCTACACTGGTGAGTTTAAGACTGAACTCTACCACTGGTGAAAGTTTAGACTGAACTCTACCACTGTTGAAAGTTTTAGACTGAACTCTACCACTGGTGAAAGTGCACTTAACTTGATGTGAATAAACAATTTGTTATTATTATTATCACCATCACCACCACCACCACCATATACACCATTATCACCATCACCACCATTACCATCACCAACCATTATCACAATCCCCACCCCATATCATACCATATCACCACCATTATCACCATCCCACCATTATCACACCAACATCCCCATTATCACCATCCACCACCATATCACCCATTATCACCATCACCACCACCATATCACCACCGTTATCACCATCACCACCACCATATCACCACCATTATCACCATCACCACATATCACCACCATTATCACCATCACACCACCATATCACCACCATTATCACCATCACCACCACCATATCACCACTTATCACCATCCCACCACCATATCACCACCATTATCACCATCACCA